AAGCATTCTTACTTTACAGCATTTTTTCACACCTGCCTAAAACTTTTGCACAGTGCTGTATCTAGCCTAATCACCAGCCACTCCTAAACAGCACCTTTTGATAAACCCTCAACTTATAAATAATTAAACAGTTGTCAATCATTCTCAGAAAAGACATTCTTCCCTGAAAATAGTTTTTCAAAGTCTCCTATTTGCAAAGCTTTTTGAAAGAAGAAAATCCCAATAAAATTAAGAATACAGTAGTCCTATCTTTTTTCAGACTCACACAGAAGACTGAATAATTAGGAACTGCTTTAATGAATAACAGGAAAGTGTGCTCACACTTACACGAGGTCCAAAGCATTTCTTAATCATTTTTGAAGTCAGTTTTCCCAGATGATATGGGTGGAATGAGTAGGAACGCCAGATTTCATTTATGACAACCATACTGCACCCTAGAAAAAAAATAAGACTTTCAAGATACCTCGGACCAGCATGTGCAGCATATGTGATCTTTAAGGGAAGAGTATCAGAATTGTTTTTAGTGATCAGTTTTGTACTGGGTAATTTGAAGAGGTCCTCTGTCCAGATTTCCTTCCAGATATAGAAGTGACATTTATTTCTTAGGAATTGGTATTAGTTTATTTATTGGATTTAAACCTTACATTTCTACTTTAGCAAATTCTTATGACAACTTGCAAGCCTCATGCTGACATCCTGGGATCCAATCTCTGAGATTATGATTTGTTTGTAAGACCCGTTCCTGTTTATTATCTAAAATCTTAATATTGAAAATCTCATTTCAGGAAGGATAGGATTGGGCAATTCAAAGTTTCTGGGCAAGTTCATTTATGATGTAATGGGGTGTACAATTTAGGAGCAGAATTTCCTGGAGTTTCTTACATTGCCAATAGTTTTTTTCCTAGAAGGCCTCAGTGCCCCATCATGGGAAAGGGGTGTGTATGAAGACATTTTGCCCCCAAATTGTGAAGTTTGCCAGCCCATTTTGCTGCCAGAACTCTTGAGTCTCTGAACTACTGCCAGTGTTAATACTACAGCAATTAGTAGACTTGCTCCCAAATTGCTATCAGATCTAGAACATGGTTTTCCATAGTGTATAAGGCAATGAAGTACCTTAGCAGGCTTCTATCTGATAAAAATTCAAACCAGACCCACCCACTATGGGTGAGAGCCCACTGTAGGAAATGCTTGATGACAATTTTTTTTTTAATTTTGTTTTCTGCCTCTATTGCATCAGGATAAGGTTGTCTAGTGGAGTTTGAGGTGGCATATTATGAGATTATTATGCTTAGATCCCCAGATTAGTAAAGAGAAACTTCCTGAAACGTGTTGTGAAAAACAGACATATCATTTTTAAAAAAATCATTACCTGAACACATCAGTGATATACTAAAAAAAAAAAAAATTGTTTTCTGGGCAATAGTCACCATTTTCACAGTTGAAAATGACAATTTTCTGTTTTGTATTCTTGCATTATTTAGTCATAGCAATTGACAGCACAAATCACATTTAGCAATAATCCAATTTAAAGCCACATTTCTGAACAGTTAAAATCTTCCCCAATCAAGAGTTATTAACCTTTTGCATTAAAGGTATATTTAATAAATCTTCCTCTTTGAAAGTGCGGCTTTATTTCTGACAGTTTTCTGATGCGTCTGTCTCTCTCTTTCTCCATTATAATATTTAATCTTTCATGGGAGACTTAGAAAAACATTGATATAATTTTTCAAAATGTTGCTTTCCAAATTCAATTGCATATAATGTATTTCTATCTCAGTTACTGCTTGCTAAATTCAATTTTGGCTTTATGTGGAATGGGCTCAGCTAATAGACTACGAGCCCCAGGATCTGCTCCCACACTGAACCATAAGAGATCTTGAAACGTGTCCTATCAGTTCTTCCCTGCTCTTTCCCCCAAAGGGCAGTAGCAAGAAGACACTTCTCTAAAGAGGTGTCTGCAGCAATGGTCCCTGGATACAAAATGTCAGGCTCAACCAGGTCATTGAAGCCCCTTCTTCCTTTTTAACATTTGTCTCATACATTGCATGCATGTAAAAAGGAGCAGTTGGAGAAAGTCAGCCTTAGAAATTGGTAATGAATCAGGAGAGGAAATCTGATACTGGAATCTTCTCTTCAAAGCCACAGCTGCTCTCTGATCTGAGTGGAGAATTCAGCTGTTTCTATGGCTCTTAATGCTCTTTTCCAAAGACCATAGGACTGCAGCCTGAGATAACTTCATTACTTTTTGAAAACACCTGCCATTGTTTCTTTTTTGAGCTTAGCTTCTGAAATGACAATGTTTTCTAAATTGTCAGAACAGATGGTGAAAAAAATATTAGGAAAATTAGCCAAATCCATTAATACCATACAGATGTCTTTGTTCTATTATTATGTATTTTTCTAAAAACTGGAGGAAATTGAACAAAAGGTGTTGGTTTTTTGTTTTGTTTTTTACATGTTTCCTTCTAAAGCTGAAAAACACTTTGAGTACTTTATGATTCTTCCTGGACTTGGTATTGTTTTACCTATCAGGAATTTGGACACTTGTAGGTCACACAGACACTCAAAGGACTTTGTTTCCTACAGAAATGGCCTTTTATTGTAGGATGTTTTATTATAGTTGCATAATATGAGCTAATTCCTTGCATTTATTATTTTTATTTATTTAGGCAATAGATTAAGGAACAGGACCATTATTTCAAATTTGTCTCTTCTGAATTGGACATATCCAGTTCAGGTATGGATTCCAACAGTGACCTATCCAATGCTTATAAATCAGTGTCTGTGTCATTACTGCTCAATCATTATAAAATGATTGTTAGAGCCTGCCTCCTCTTAGTTCATTGCTTACTCCCCACGTGAGCTGATCTTGTCCATCTTTTATTGGCCTCATCCAGTGTTCCTGCAAAGTTGCATCTCACACATTAGTCTCTTCATGTAGCTGGCTCACCGGCAATCAGCTGATCTTCAGAAGGCTATTTGTGTTATTATGCTTTGCAATTAATGGTCCAAATGGAGGAAAGCTCATTTTACCAACAAAGATGGAAGATCCACTAATTTCAGGGCAAAAAAGGACATGGATATTGTTTCTGTGATCTGTGTACGGATACTGGACAGAGGAGCATTTGTTTCCTCATCTTGAAAGATAAGCTGTTTCCAAAATATGTACTTAGGTACGCACTTAAGAAACATAGAAGGATGTTCATAGTCATCTGTCCATCTCCATATACAATGAAGGATTTGCAACGCAGTATGTAACCATAACAACCTGCTGGGCCTGGTTATCCAATCTCTACTTATTTGTGGAGTTGTTTATGAGGATGGATGATGGGATCTTTCAGTGTTTTGTAACTACTTTAAAACATACCAAAAGAAATGAAGTAGTTCCAATTTCAGAAATAAATCTGTTTTTGCATTTGAAATAAACACATTGTCTACAGTTTTTAAACGGATGGATGGATGGATGGATGGATGGATGGATGGATGGACAGGTAGGTAGGTAGGTAGACAGAGACAGCCAGTTTGATGTAGTGGTTATGATATTGGACTAGAAACTGGGAAGCCATGAGTTCTAGTCCTTTTGGCATACAAACTGGCTGGGTGACTTTGAGCAAGTAACTCTCAGCCCAGTCCACCTCACAGGAGCATTGTGCATACTGCCTTGAATTGTACAAATTAAAGGTGGTATATAAATCTAATAAATAAATAATAATTAGGATTATAGACAGGCAGATGACAAATTACAGTTCTTAGAGATCATGGAAAAAACTAGCTTAAATATAGTTTTAAACTAACTTTTATAAAGCAGGTAGAGAGTTAGGGTTGTATAACCTCTCCCCTTAATTAATTCTTTGTTGAACTTTATTCCCCTGTTGCTAACATTTAAATTAATTATAGATTATGGATCTCTTGATTTCATAATTTCTTTTGAATGAGCCCACCTACGCTTTTAAGGAATTTTGCAGTAACAGCATTGCATGCTACAAGGTTCTTCTGCCTGTGCCAGCCAGTAACTGTAGCCATCATTACTCATTGGTTCCTTCACAAAATCATGGATAATACAAGACAGGCTGACTTTCAAGTCAATGACATCATATGGATTGTACTTTTCATCCAGGTAAGTGTGTAAGAAGATTACAGCCAAGGACATCATGCAAGACTTTATGCAAACTTCACAAAGCCAACTAAAATTGATTGTGATGAACTGTCAGAGATGGTTAATATAGCCATGGTTTGGGCAATAGTGAGAGAGTTGCGATTGAAAAATCAAAGCAGCTTGATCTTGGGAAAGCTTTCATTATTTTTTAAAACAATTTTTTAAACATTTCTTAAATACTTCTTTTCAAATCCTGTTAGGAATTACATTCTTTGGTGTGTATATGTGTGTGTGGGTCGATTAAGAGTTTTAGAACACTGCTGTGGAAACAATTCTATAAATAGCTAAACTGACAAGTGAACAAAATACATAAAGAAAACATTTTTTATTGATCAAATTTTGTTCCAGAGTGTGTGCAAGACTTTTTATAATTCCCAGTTTTGTTTCTGCAGAACTGGAAAGCTGAGCTGGGGAAAAGATGGCTCAAAGCAATAGAGCATGAGGAGGTCAGTCTCAAGCAGATGGTACTCATCCCCACATGCTCAGTTTAGTAAAAAAGTTAATACCTTCATTTTAGAGCAAAGTTGACAGCTGCATGAGTAATCAATATGCACATGGCTAGTTTGGAACAGTCATTGAATCTTAGTATTGCAGTCGCTTCACCTATATCATTACTAGCAATGGAATGGACACTGCAGTAATCTGGCAAAATATCTATGTAAAATTCTTATTTTGAGAGCCAATGTAGGATAATGGTTGAAGTCTTGGCCTAGGCTTGGGAAGAGACCTGCATTCAAGTGGAATCTCAGGTATGGAAGCTCCAGGATGAAATTGTTCTGACACTGTCAGCCCAACCTACCTCATAGAGTTTTTGTGTGAGGGGCTGGAATAGAGTGAAAAGTGCTATGGATATTGCCATAATTGTTTCTTGTTCTCAATATAAGTGCCTGGGAAAGACTATATGATTTGGAAATTATTGCAAAGTTACTACAGTATTGCAAGTTAGGGATGAGCAATTTTTTAGTAGTCAAGGGCCATGCTGAAGAGTTTTTGGGTGGACAAGATAATACTCTTATTATGAAAGAAAATTTGGGGGGACTTTTCTTTGTGCTTCCCTGTGACACTCTATGGAAGCGAAAGTTGGACTTTGAAGAAGCAGGATAGGAAGAATAC